GGATGTACCTGCTTTGTTCACGATCTTACTCCAGGAAAAGATAAATTAACATCCAAAGCCTTCAAGTGTCTTTTCCTTGGATATACTCATTTTCAAAAGGGGTATCGTTGCTACTCTCCTGATCTCAAGCGTTATATTGTCTCGGCTGATGTCACTTTCCTTGATCAACAACCTTTTCATTCTATCCCATCTCAGATAACACAAGTTGATCAAGTTCTTCCTGTTCCTTTTCTTGATTTGTCTTTACCAGTTGCAGGAGACTCTATTCCGGAGGAGCAGCCTATTGCCTCCATCCCTGAAGACCGTCCTTTTCTCACCTATCAGCGTCGTCAGACTACGCCTCCAGCGGATTTGAACCTCATTGACTCACCGCCTGCTACTGTCGACTCTTCCCCTCCGGATCCTCCATCAGAAATTGCTCCCATTGCCCTTCGCAAAGGTATTTGATCCACTCGCAACCCTCATCCACTTTATAGTTTCTTGAGTTATGATAGACTTTCTTCACCACATTTTACTTTTGTTTCTAGTATTTCGTCTGTTTCTATTCCTAAAACCACAGGTGAAGCACTATCTCATCCGGGTTGGCGTCAGGCGATGATTGATGAAATGCAAGCACTTCACTCCAATGGCACCTGGGATCTTGTTCCTGCTCTTCCCGGAAAGTCAGTAGTCGGCTGTCGATGGGTATTCACTGTCAAAGTTGGTCCTGATGGCACTGTTGATCGCCTCAAAGTTCGTTTGGTGGCCAAAGGTTACACTCAGATATTTGGTCTTGACTATCGGGATACTTTTTCTCCTGTTGCCAAGATGGCATCCGTCCGCCTATTTCTTGCCCTTGCTGCTATTCGTCACTGGTCACTCCTTCAACTTGACATCAAAAATGCCTTTCTTCATGGTGTTTTGCACGAAGAAGTTTACATGGAGCAACCACCTGGTTTTGTTGCTCAGGGGGAGTCTGGACAAGTGTGTCGTCTTCAAAAATCCTTATATGGTCTCAAGCAGTCTCGTCAAGCATGGTTCAGTCGCTTCAGTTCTGCTGTTCAGGCGTTTGGCTTAATCCGCAGTAAAGTTGATCATTCTGTATTTTATAGGATTACATCTCCTGACAAGTGCATCTATTTGTTAGTCTATGTTGATGACATCATTCTCACCGGAAGTGATCAAGACGGAATTCGCCAGTTAAAACAACATTTATTCAGTGCATTTCAAACAAAGGACCTTGGGAAGCTGCGTTACTTCTTGGGAATTGAGGTGGCGCAATCTAGACAGGGCATTTCTATCTGTCAAAGGAAGTATGCCTTGGATATCCTAGAAGAGACTGGTATGTTGGGGTGTAAACCAGTTGATACACCCATAGATCTTAATGTTAAGTTATTGCCCAGACAGGGGGAGCCGTTATCTGATCCTGGACGTTATCGAAGGCTGATTGGGAAGCTCAATTATCTTACTGTGACTAGGCCAGATATTTTTTTCGCTGTCAGTACGGCTAGTCAGTTCCTTGATTCCCCTTGTGATTCACATTGGGATGCTGCAGTGAGGATCCTCCGATACATCAAAGGAGCACCAGGAAAAGGTTTGTTGTATTCGGATCAGGGAAATACAGAGATTTGTGGTTATTCAGATACTGATTGGGCAGGATCACCCTCGGACAGGCGCTCTACTTCCGGCTATTGTGTTTTCTTTGGAGGAAACTTAATTTCGTAGAAGAGCAAGAAACAACTTGTAGTTGCTCGGTCTAGTGCAGAAGCTGAGTATCGTGCAATGACAAATACTACCTGTGAGTTGATTCAGGAGCTTCATCTTTGTGAACAGAAACAACCCATGACACTCATCTGTGATAATCATGTTGCGCTACATATATCCTCTAATCCTGTTTTTCATGAGAGGACCAAACATATAGAGATTGATTGTCACTTCATTCGGGAAAAGATTCAGTCAGGAGAAATCAAGACAGCTTTTGTCAACTCGTCTAATCAACTAGCAGATGTTTTCACTAAAGCTCTTAGAGGTCCTCGGGTTGAATACATTTGTAACAAGCTTGGTGCTCATAATATATATGCACCAGCTTGAGGGGGAGTGTTAGAATATTAGATATGATATGATTAGATATGATTAGATATTATTAGATATGATTGGATTTCGTCTTATCCGTAAATTCTGATTGTATTAGGATTAGGTTTGAGCCTTTCACTTAAGTCCATTAGGGTCTCTATATATTGTAACTCTCTGACACAGATCAATACACAACATATTATTTTATATTCAAGTCATTTGAAGAGAGAAATAAACACAAAAATTTCATATGACTATGTCATGTGAAATTTTAACATGAAAAAATATACTCCCGTAAAGTTTATTGTTTTCATCGGGAAATAAGCTAGATTTATGTGTTAAAATAACATTCTCCTATGTAAAAATTAAAAAAATAACATTCTCCTAGAAATGCTAGTGGCGAACCTTGCTTTTAGCGCCAACCTTTGTGCGAATCAACTCTTTAAACACGAAAATTAAGAGCGAGTTCACAAGAAAATACGTTGGGCTTTGAATCATTATATACCTACGTAATGGCTTATTATGGGAGATCAAGTATATAAAACTTACCATCAATTTTAAGAACGCATTGTACGCTAATGTAAATTTTAAGAACTTGCAGCAACGTGTCTGTCTGTCAGCCAAGCATTGGGTTTCGATATGGGGTCATTCTTAACTTAAATCATGAAGATGCTCGAACACTTTTATGTCTTTATATTAATAATATGTATATAGGGTAAGATATTCTTACACTAATATAAGAATAAGAAATTTACGTCAAATCTTGATCATGCTCAAATATTTAATAAATCAAAATCATTATATATAAATGGGACCAATAGTAAAACATTTTATAACAGTGTAACATTATCCTGACCCTGACTCTCTCTCTCTATATGTGGTAAAATCATATCTAAAGTTGTTGTATGTGCAACAATGATAGGTGTATGATTATAATTCCTCATATTTAATGCTTTCAATTTTTGTATGGTTATGATTCCTACATTAAATGTTTTAATCCATATATCTATGAAAAATTTGTCAAAGCTGCACGTAAAGTGGCTGCAGAAAAATCGAACCATATATATATATATATATATATATATATATATATATATATATATATATATATATATATATATATATAAGGTATGATTCTTTGTTACCGTTGTCAAACTTTAAAATAAATTCGACACTAAATTTTAATTGTTGATTTTTGTCAATCAACGATTATCATTGATTGGGAATTAATAAGTTTAATTTTCAATAAATACTAACCGTTGATAGGCGGAAATCAACAGTTAGGATTTAACGTCGAATTTCAAAGTTTGACACAATTGTCAAAGAATCATATCTCTCTATATATACAAGGTTATTACGCACATTTTTTATTAACAATGTTTTAATTGTATATTTAAAATATATCGAGTTGTAAATCTAATTGATTTATTTTTTAATTAGAAGTTACATAACGTAAGAATGCCCCTCTTTCTCTCTTATAAACGACATTATATTTATTTTATTAAATTTAAACATTAAAATTAAATTAAAATATCTATTATTGATGTTACATTATGCATTTGGAGATAAGAATCCAACTACAACTTTGTACCAATAAGAGAGAACTTCTATCTTGCTAAACTTTCCTATTAAATAAAAGAGGAATTATTTTCTTATTTAACATGAGATAAACTCATTTTTTTATACTTAAGTATTGAGTGATGGAATCCATTTATACTTTTTTTTCTTTTCTCTCTCTTATATGCAAGTGTAAGAAAATAAATTTATCTCATGTTAAACGAGATGAAAAGTGCCTTAAATAAAAAGACTGATGGGCCTATTTAAAACATTTTCTTAGTCATAAGAAAAATTCAACGTTAATCGTCGAATTACGAGATTTGTTATGCATTCTCAATAGTCCGGAGCCACGTGAGGCGAGGCATTGAGCAGCGTGTGGTGGGAAGGCGCACGCGTATGTACAGGCTCGTTTCCCGCCCTAACACACGCGCGCCTCGAAACAAAACCTGGAGCTCCAGGATCCGACATTCAAGGGCGCAATGGCGGATATTGAAATTTTCGCTCCAAGATCCACCCGTCACTAGATCCGAATATGTTTGACAGAAGAAATACATATAACTAGTTATTTTATACTTGCGTCATATAAATTATTTTAAATTTATAATCGTGCATTTTTAGTTTACATTTTTCTTTCAAGCTAATTTTATTATATAATAGAATAGATTACTATACTGACAAAAAAAATACAAACAATTTAGTTATTCATAGGTAAAAACTTAAGAAAAAAAACTCACAATTTTAATGAATTTAATTCATGAAAAAAATAACCTTGTTTTTCAAAATTGAAACAAAAAGTTGAAGATGATCATGCCAACTTATATTGCATGTAAGTATTGCAGAAAAAAAAAAATTCAAAACCATAGACAAAGATGTGATTAATTCGAATGAGAGATGCTACATTCTTTAAAAGTGCATTTCTTTAACCAAAGACAAAATGTAATAAATTACAAATTTACAATTACATATTTTTACCTTACACTTGTATGATAAATTTTTGTAATGCTTATAAATGCTAAAAAAAAGTCGTCAAACTAACCATGTCACAATAAGAAAATGCCACATGTGCTTTACTATTTGGTCAATGCAACACCAACAAAGTGAAAATAGCGAATGCTAATAAACAATAAGAAGCAGGACACTTTACTCTCAGCAATGCCACGTACCTCTAATCCCCATCACACGCAACACGATTTTGCCCTTTTAAAAATACAAAATATCTTCAAACTTGCACGCAACACGATTTTGCCATCAAGACCCAATTCATGCATGCACAACTATTTATACCAAGCTTCCTATGCCTCTCCAATGTACTTACTTCACAATCTTTCCATTCCTCACTCTCTTACTCTCTGCCTCATCCTCCATCGGTTTTCATTTCCGTGTCTATTATAATGGGTTTACTTTCAACATCCTTAGACAGTACTAGCTGGTGGGTGTTTACACTTCCAGCCATTGTAGGAACACAAAACATGCTTAACAATCTAGTCTTGGTGATCCTAATTGCACTTTTCTCTATTGGGTTTCTAGCATGGGCTTTCTCAAGAGGAGGAGGAGGAGGAGTAGCTTGGAGAAATGGAAGGAACCAAATGGGTCAAGTCCCAATACCAGGACCCAAAGGTCTTCCAATCTTTGGCATCTTATTCAGCTTAAGCCATGGCTTACCTCACCGTACCCTTGCTTCTATGGCTTCCACTCTATCTGCTACAAAACTTATGGCCTTCAGCTTGGGCTCAACCCCTGCAGTTATCACATCAAACGCTCACATGGCACGTGAAATCTTGAACTCACCCCATTTTGCTGACCGTCCCATTAAGCAATCTGCTAAGAGCCTCATGTTCAGTCGTGCCATTGGGTTTGCACCAAACAACACATATTGGCGTTTGCTTCGTAAGGTTGCGTCAACCCACCTCTTCTCTCCGACACGCATCGCCGCCCATGAGTCCGGTCGCCAGCTTGACTGCGCCGCTATGTTGTTCGCCGTAGCGAATGAACAATCCAAATATGGACTCGTTTGCTTAAGGAAACACCTCCAAGATGCAGCTCTTAACAACATTATGGGAACCGTTTTTGGAAGAAGATACAGCCAAGAAGAGTGCCCTAATAATTGCAACGAGGTTAAAGAGCTGCATGAGATGGTGAGGGAAGGGTTTGAGCTTTTAGGAGCCTTCAATTGGTCTGATTATGTGTCTTGGATCAGCTTCTTTTATGACCCTTTTCGTATTCAAGAACGGTGCTCAGCTCTTGCTCCTCGCGTTAAGAAATTTGTCAAGCAGGTTTTGGACGAGCACCGAATGCAGGCTCCATTAATCAATGAGCTTTCTTATGCCTCGGACTTTGTGGATGTTCTGCTCTCTCTAGAGGGGGATGAGAAGCTCCAAGATGACGACATGATTGCCATTTTATGGGTTTGTATTTTTACACTATCTTAACGTACAAAAGTTTATTGGTCATGCATATCTTAACCTACCTTTTATTTTTTATTTTTATACATAACTTAATTACTTTTTTGGTGCGAGTCAAGTCCTCTAGTTCTTGTGTCCTGAACAAGAGAAGGACTCACACATAAAAGTGATTAATTTCAAGTCAAATCAATTATCCAACTTTGCCCTAAAGGTCCTCTCCAGTATTCAAACTCATGCTCTTTTGACCGTGTGTGTTCTTACATTCATGTTGTTACTTGACGCAATTCTTGGGATATAAGTTTTACTGATTAGTTCGATCTCCTTCCCCAGTTATAGCAATATAGTAGTTTAAAGATTGTAAAAGCAATCTTTTATAGTTGTGTCTAATTAAGGTAAAGGGTGTTTTAACACAACATTAATCTTTTATTAATTAATGCCAAAACTAATTTGAGTCAATATATTTCGTAAAGTAATGAGTTAGGTTTTGGTTGCAAACAGGAGATGATATTTCGTGGAACAGATACAACAGCACTTCTTACTGAGTGGGTAATGGCTGAGCTTGTATTGAACCAAGAAGTGCAGACAAGGCTTCATGATGAGCTTGATATGGTTATGGGAGACAAGAATGATGTTACGGATGCTGATGTAATCAAAATGCCATACCTTGAAGCCATTGTGAAGGAGACATTGCGAGTGCATCCAATTGGGCCCCTCCTTTCGTGGGCCCGTTTGTCCACGTCAGATGTTCAGCTGAGTAACGGAATGGTGGTCCCAGCCAACACAACAACAATGGTGAACATGTGGACCATAACCCACGATCCTAATGTGTGGGAGGAGCCATTAATGTTCAAGCCAGAGAGATTTTTGAGGAGTGAAGGAGGGGTTGACATGGATGTGAGGGGTGTTGATCTTAGGCTTGCACCGTTTGGAGCTGGACGTAGGGTTTGTCCAGGTAAGAACTTAGGCCTTGTGACTGTGAGCCTTTGGGTGGCTAAGTTGGTTCACCAGTTTCAATGGTTCCAAGACATGGCTAACCCCGTTGACCTCACCGAGGTGCTCAAACTATCCTGTGAGATGAAGAATCCCCTCAAGGCTGTGGCTATTCCTAGGATTGCTTAAAGTCCTAGAACTATCCTAAGATTTAATATGTGAGATATATATGTCATATGCGAATGTTATTAGTTATAAACATATAGAAACTGTTGTTTTAGGAAGATCACAAATTTTCCTACAGTTGTGTCTAAGTGTGAGGATTGTTTATCTAGTTTTTATTACGTGTTGTGTATGTGACTACTAAATAAGTTGGCATTCTTTGCCTCCAAAGTTAATGCATGTGAGATAATATTTATCGATCCTTTGTGTATGACAAGCGATATTTATATGTAGACAATATGCAAAAGTATGTATGATGTTTAATGGAGGGGAGAAAATCTCTTCCAATATGAAAGCGATACTTTTAGATTTGTGTTTTTCTTATTTTGCGAAACAAAAGGATGAGATGGAGTCACCTATAGGTCGGGCGCAGCTAAAACTTAGAAAACAAGTAAACAGAGTTTTCTGAAAAATTACAAAGAAGTGAGAAATTTTCTTCTTCCTTGTTTGGCAATAGTACCTTTCAAAAGAAAGTTCATCTCATACTAAAAGTGCACAAATTATGCTCTTTCGTAATTTCCAACATAGGAATGATTTTCGTATTACATAAACGAATACTAAATTAATTTTATACAACAATTTCTTACCTATAATGAAGTCTTAATATATCGAGTTTTTTTTTTTTTTAAAAGACATAAAAGTATTAGGTTTCAAATTAATTGTATACAACTCATATGATTGACCCATTTAACTTGGTATGGCGGGTCGAGTTGAAATTTTCTAGTCCGCCAATGTATTTGAACCTGTCCTGTCCTGCATAAGGGCATGTCAAAACAAGTTGAATCTGTCGCGGGACAAGTTGACTGAGAGGTTAATTTTTTTTAAGAAAAAAACATTAATCAATTACCTTTTTCTCACCATTTTGGTCTTCATTTGATACCCTTCACATATATATATATATATATATATATATGTGGAGGAATGCAATTTTTGAATTTTTTTTATATTTTTAATATGTTGAAAATGATTCAATTAATTATTTTATTTTCAGGCAGATTGAAGGCAAGAATGGTTACCAATTTGCAACATTGACCATAATGTTATTATTTAGCAAATTTTTTATTCAAATACCACGCAAATAGTATTTTTTATCCGATTGTCACGCGACATAATTCGTTATTACTGGTAGCAAATTACATTCACCAATAATTTTGTGACACGTGACACATTTTCGCAGAAAAAAGATGATTGGACATAATTCACTACTAGTGATAGCAAATTTAGTATGCAATGTGCCCATGTGTCACAAAGTTATTGGCGAACGTAATTTGCTACTAAACATAACGAATTATGTCATGACTATCAGATAAAAAATACTATTTACGAGGTATTTAGATAAAAAATTTGCCATAAAAAATTTGCCAAACATCCCTGTTCGTACCAACTTTGTTAGACTCCACTTTGAACTAAAACTACTTTTTATTAACTGAATTTTTAAAATTAAAAAAACAAAAGGGGTTGCCCAATCATATGCAGGACAGTGTAAACAAAAGTACAACACGTGGCCTACAAAAAAACAAAAAGGGTTGCCCAATCAAAAAGGGTTACAACACGTGGTCAAGCATGCATGGATGTAAGATGCGTAGGCCATGTAAACTAGCTTATGAATAAAACAAAACTGAAGAGCATGTGCAGTTGGTGATACAATAAAAAAGTTAATGTTTAAAAGTTTAACAGCAGCCGACACTATGTATAGAATTCACGAAGCTTCTACGGTTGAAAATATTGACGAAATTTGTGTATCAAATTATGGCAGTTGAGCGACGCGTCAAGATTGGGTTTGCCTTGGTAACACGAGCTTTTTCGATGTGCAAAATCTTTCTAGCTAGGTCGGTTAACGATTGAATTTCCCAATCCCAAGAGAAAGCCAATAGCCAATATAATCGATGCACAATATTAGGAAGACAAGTCAGGGGGGGAAAATAGCGGATATTTGACATATATCTTGATTAATCATTAATATGGATTGTGAGACAAATCGAGGGTACTAATCAAGTGGGTTTGTTTCCTAAGATCAGACGTGGTAGGTCAACTAAAATAATAAGATCAAACTGAAAGCACAACTAAAATATGATCTAGACAATTAATGGAGGAATTCTGATACCTAATAAAACAATCATCTCAAGTCAATAATTCAACCCGGTAAATCAATAATTTTTATATTTTCTCTAACCTTCTCCATATAACCAGCATGCGGAGAATCAAAACATGCAAACCGCTCACTTATAATAAACAATATAATAGCATATATTTATGGGATAGGATCCGTTTACAAACTTTATTTTGCAATTACACTAATGTAGGACCGGTCGTACATTGTGTGATTAATGTAGGACCGATCCTACATAGTGTAGTTTGTAAGAGTTTGTAAACAAAAAAGTTTGTAAATATAACCTGCCCCTATATCTATTATCTACTTGTTTTAATTTTTGTTAGTTTCTCTTTTTTCTTAAAAGAAAAATTTAAGTCAAATAATTTTTCCTAAAAGCTCTTAAAAAAAATATTTTTTTAATAAATAAAAAATATGAAGGTAATTTTTTAGAAAAATTTCCCAAGAGAAGTTTTCAACTTTTAGTCTATGACTTAATTCAAGGGTTTTATTCTTCTCATATTGCATGAGACAAATTGTCTCATGTAACACACAAAAAGTGAATGAGACCCATTAAAAAAAAAAAATAAGCACCACCCACTTTTTTGTGTGTTGCATGAGACAATTTGACTCATGCAACATAAGAAAAATAAAATCCTTATTTTAAAAAACATATGAAGTCTCATATTCAAATTTTTAATTTTTTAATATATTAGTGTATTAAAAAATTTCTAAAATTATTTATTTAAATAAATAAGTATATTATTTATAAATTAATATAGGGTTCATTTTTTTTGCAGTTACTGCAGATAACTTATCTGCAGTAAGTTCAATACGATGTCATTTTGGAGCGGAAATCATGGTGTTTTTGTAATTTTATTTTATTTCAGGGTTATAATAGTCTTTATATTTATAATTTTTAATATTTCAATACCAAAACGACGTCGTTTTGAGAATAAATGCAAATAACTTATCCGCATTAACTGCAGAAATATTTTTCTCATTAATATATTAGTATATAAGTATATTATTTATTTATTTATTTTAAAAATAATTTTTCTGTTTTATAAATAATATTTGTGTTTATCCGAAACTTCCTTATTAATATAAAGAATTTCAATTATACATCCTTTATGATAATTTTAATTAAAATTAAAGATAATATAAATTATTCTACCAAATGACTTACTCAGATAGTTTGAGCATTAAAATAATTTTTAATCTAAAAAAATTATATAATTGATAAACAGCTTTAGTTTATAGTCTTAGCTTTTAAATAGTTTTAAGCAGTGTTATTAGTGATTCGACCTACCGTCATCAGTTGAATAAAATACACCATTTAATATATAACTATTAAGTTAAGAGAATTAATTCAAAAATTGAATACAATGGGATTCGAACTCCTTCCATTGAGGATATGTAACATAACAAATAACAAATACCACTAAACTACATCATGTTATTGTTTAGATGACACCATTCAAAATATTTATTATATAATTAAGTATAAAATATAAATTTATATATATATATATATATCCGGTTCATGCGGTTCAACCAGTGACCCACCGATTAAACCATTGACCCAGTTACCCGGTACCTTGGCCGGGTCAATGACCGATCCGATTCTAATAATATTGGTTTTAAGTTAGAAAAAAGTTATGCCAAAGAGATTCCTTGTAGTACTTTTAAGAAGCTACCCGTCCCCTACAAACTCTAGCACAAAAGAAAGACGAATAGACGATGATGCCAACTCCAAAATAATTTTCTTAAAGAGATAAAATAGTGAAATCAATTAAATCTTTAACAATCTCAAATATAGATTTAGATGGAAAAAATTACAATGAGATAAATGATAAAAGAAAGCAAGGGTTAAGTGATTCTAAGAAAAATTACCGTTTTAACTTTTCTCTTTAAATTTTGATACTAGTCTGTCTAGTCATTCATAGAAAATAGGAGTATATATCTTAATGAATAGAAGATTTAACTAGAAACTTGTAGAAAAAGACATTTTAATGATATATAAGGATTGAAAATAAAAATAATATAAAAAACAGAAACAAAATTCAAATAAGTAAAAATTATAAAAACCAAAATATTATTTAAACCATTAGAATATAACCCACGCCAATAAACATTGAAGCCGTAATTTACCTGTTACATTGAAACATATTGAATGCAATGCAATCATGAGGGTGCAATACTAGTTCATGATACTGCACCCAAACTACTACCAATAAAATCCTACTAATGATTAACGAATTACAAAATAAATTTAAGTTATTTAAAAAAAAGATAGGATAGTGTAACAACCAACTAGTGTTACTATCAATGTTACTATCAATCAATTTCACCGTTAGATCGATTATGTTGATCTAACGGTTATATTTATTTTTATCTTTGTATGGTTATGATTTCTCATATTTAATGTGAAAACATTAAATATAGAAAATCATAACCATATAAAGATAAAAATAAATATAAAGTATTAAATATGAGGAATCATAACCATACAAAGATGAAAATAAATATAACCGTTGGATCAACATAACGATTTAACGATGAAATTGACTGGTAGTAACATTAGTAGTAACACTAGTTGGTTGTTACAATATCCTTTCCCTTTAAAAAATAGGTGAAACTTTGTAAATATTTAATTTCCTGAACAAGACAATTATGTTTCACCAACAAAATTAATGGCTCAACCATATAATTAGTATTATTCAAGATAATATTCAACTTTACGATTCATAACAAATTATTTTTTATACTATTATTAGATCCATTTTTTAATACTTTTTGCATAACTAATGGCAAAGCCATTCCTAAGTGCTTTATAAAATTCCCGGAAGTTACATGTTTTAATTGAAGTCCTTTGGTAATACTTTTTTCTCTTCATTATGTTTGAATATATAAAATATTTCCAGAGTGTTTTAAAATGCCATTAGAACGTCCTAAAACATCTACGTAAGATCATTTTCCTAAATTTACATGTTTTAGATTTTATATAGAAGTCCCTTGATATATAATATATACTTCTTTCTCTTGTTTTGGTTAGAGTATCTCATAATATTTTTATAGAGAGAAAATAGCAGAGAGACAAAGAAATATCAGAGACGGAAAATCTTAAATGAGCATATATATATATATATATATATATATATGGGAAAAATGTTTCAGCAGTTAATGCAGATAAGTTATCTGCATTTATTCTCAAAACGACGTCGTTTTGGTATTGAAATCTTAAAAAACTATAAATATAAAGACTATTATAACCTTGAAATAAATTAAAATTACAAAAACACCATGATTTTTGCCCAAAACGACGTCGTATTGGCTTACTACAAATAACTTATCTGTAGTAACTGCAGAAAAAATGAACCATATATATATATATATATATATATATATATATATATATATATATATTTTTATATATGGGTTATATGCAGTGTTTTAAAACCCCACCCCACCCCCGGGTTGACCCGGGTCAACCCTGACCCTTCCCTTCTGAGGGTTGGGGTCACAAGTTGGACCCTAAATGCACATCGACCCCTCCGACCCCCAAAACTCAGTCGTGTTTCAGTGACTCTCGGGTCAAAGTGGTCAAAGGGGGTCACTGCATGTTTTGTTTTTAAAGAAAATTCCATGAAACAACGTCGTTTTATTAAAAAATAAAAATAAAAATGCTTGCAAACCTAAATCTAATCGTTCTCTACTCTCCAAACGACCTAGACTTGTGGTATCTTGATAATTTGGTATCATTAGAATATGAGTTTTGTACTTTGGTATCTTGATACTTTAATTATGTTGTGTAATATTGACTTGTGGTTATAATTGGTAAATTATGTTAAGGATATTTTGAATCTTTGATGAGTGGTGATTTGCTTTTTAATATTTTCATATAGGATATATATATATTTTTATTTTTTTAATATATAAAACCGAGTCAGCATAGTGACCCCGTGACCCCCCGGTTGAACCCGTGACCCCTGACCTCGACCGGGTCGATGGCCGGGCCGGGTTTTTAAACACTGGTTATATGTATCTCTTGTTACATTAGAGAAGCCAATTTCCTACACACACAAAAGAGAGATGGATCTCACATTTACTTTTTCTCTCTCCTCTTACTTGTGGGTCCTGTAACATCCCGTATATATCCGGCAGTGTTATCATTACATCGTATTAAGCTACGCTAAATTAAAAATGCGGAATATCTTTTTCTTTTCAATTATGACGTCATTAATCATTACCAACTTGATTACTTAATCATTTTCAAAATGTCGCCTGTATGCAATTGCAATAAAATAGCTAATAGAAATACCTCATTCATTAAAATAACATAATGTATGGCTCTAGTCACGGAACTACAACACGTAGACTGTACCAACTATCAGTTTATACAACTCAACTCAAAGTACTAACAACATAGTCGCATGGACACTTTCATGCTCACCCAAATAAGGCAACAAAGACAACATAAGTCTCAACATCAACAACATAATAATAATGCGGAAAACATAAACAACATCTAGTCCAGTCATGCTAGAAAATAAGCAGTAATAACATAATCAACTAAACTCTGGCCTCCTGCCGCCAGAGGCATCAGTCACCATACTACTTGAACCTGAAATAAGCATTCCCCAAACGTGGGGTGAAATCTTTAAACAAGAAATCTCAGTAAGACAAGGGGTCCTCAAGGATCTTCCACCCCAAGCTCACTTACATGTGCAATATAAGTTTAAAAGCAGTTTATCATCATCAGTTCTAAAATAGTGCAATGCAGCAGATAATCATGTCATGTGTGTCAGTACTATTCTACTGATCATAGAAATGTAGGAATACGTCTATTACCCACACAATATGCAAGACGCTACTTGCACCCACCCACGGACTCACCATCTTGTATGACGCCACATACTCAGGCTTACCGACTAAGTGGAAACAACACATACATATTATAAGCCATTGCACATATCAGCTCAAAAGCATTTCAAAATATCCAAAGCATGTAACATAACATGCATATAACCATACCCCATGGGACATGGTGGAACCACAACATGGCTAAACCGAGGACACGAAAGCTTACCTTGCAAGCTAACACCCAAAGCCAAGAGTCCACAGCTCAAAGTCCAAACACAGCAGATTCACAATCTGTTATGGACCAATAATACATCAACAATCATACTCTACAAGTATACAACATTAAGACAACGCCTTTCCATTACGTTTTACGTCTTAAGGTTTCACACAAGCCATAAGCCCTTAATCACATGATTCTGACTTACATTAATTAATCACAGAAGTTCAACTTCCTCAAACTAGGGTCCACAAACCTATAGATCAGTTCTGGATGAACATTACGCTACTGTTCCTCGCAAACCCAGAATATCCGGATATTCCACGGGGACATATCTGGATATGCAATATCCGGATATACAATATCCGGATATCACTCTGGCAATATCCGGATATCAATATCCGGATATCCAGATCCCCATCCGGATATCAATATCTGGATATTCCACGGAAAATATCCGAATATTTCGCGACAGAATGCAGTTTCTGCATTTCGCGAAGATATCCTTCCAATGGTCCATTTTTAACACTTCCAGAAGCTTAAACATGCATCTTAAGGTTCATTGAGGTTCATATGACAGTTGGTTACTTGTTTAATTCATTAAACATGCAAAGACTTCATCTTTAAGCAACAAAACTCAAGACCAAGGTTGGTACAACTTACCACGACTAAAACTCAGCAAAATGGGTGCTCTTGTAGCTCACACAACAGCTCCAAGGTACTGACTTCAAGGGTGCACGAAAATGCTACCAAAGCTTGGCCTTTTCCTCACAAAAGAAGCTTCTTGAAGCTTCACAAGCCAAGAGCAAGATGGCTCTCACCCAAACTCCAAACTCAGCACTCAAACTGACCTCACACAGTGGCCAACAACTCAGAAGATGCACTTTCACACCCTCACAATGATAGCCCTCAAGCGTTTACCAAGTAAAAGAGGAGAAACCAAGTGAAAGATGGCCACTTGGCTCACAAATGGAGAAGAAGGGGTGGCTAAGGGTGGCTGACTTCAAGCTCAGCAAAAACTCACGTAGGAGGCACAACATGGCCTAGGGTTTAGTAAGGCTTATATAGGCGGTTTAACACTTAAACACACAGTATTAACTTTAATTGCTACGCTTATCATTTTAATCCCAAACTTTGGATTCTTAACCTACTCAATTTTACAAGAATTATCATATTTTTCTTATAATTTTCGGAGCACCTTTCTGGTACGCGTTTTTCATAGCCAGTACCAGTTTCTGGCACCAATTCTCATTATTTTGACTTAAAACTTGTTTTACAAGTCCTACATATTATTCTAGTAATTATCATGCACTTATTATAATTTTCCGGGATACTTTTTCGGTACGCATTTATACCGACTAGCAGAACCGGTATCTGCACTTTTCTTCCGAAAAGCGACTTTCAGCATTCTTAATCACTTACTATAATTATTAAAGCCTCATAATAATTATTAGGGTCAATTATGGAATTATTTCCTAATTTCACATAATTAATTAATTAACTTCCTTAATTAACAGTGCGGGTTCTTACAGGTCCCACTTGTAATTTTGTTTTTACTGCATGAGATTTTGTTTTTCTACAACATAAAAAAACTATTTCAATATATATATATAGGGTTTTCGTTTTGTCCTTTAACATAACACAATAAACTTTCCTACACTCAGAACATTTTGTGGGGTCCATACTTTTTAAAGCAAAAATATAAATAAAAAATTAAGGCACGCACAACGAATCTCTATAACATTACACAATCATTTTTTCTACAACATAACTCTTATAAAACTCGTATATATATATATATATATATATATATATATATATATATATATATATATATATATATATATATCACATGTTGATGGAAAAGACCCCACAAAAGTACCAAAAGAAGAAGAGAGTTAAATTTTGATAAATACCAAAGCAAGGAGAACTACTATTTTTCTTAAGAACAATAATTTTTTTTGAATAGATAAAAGTTTAAGTGAAGTTAGACACCTGTGAGGAACCACCCTCCAACCTCTTTAAGAATTACAAATTATCCACCAATAACACCCTTGCATTGGCCAGCAGGATTCCAATTCACACTATTATAGAGTATAAGCCTAATCCTCAGCGAAGTGGGTCCACCTTGTGACTACAATTTTTTTTCAGTTTAACACGGGGGCATGTCTGGGGGTGGAGGTGGTAATGTTTCATTTAATAGTTCGCCATTCTTCACAATAAACACTGTCTCCATGCCCCAAGAGAGGTGGCGTTCTAGATGGCAATGCATGAACCATACTCCTGTAATTAAAAGTGCAGTTCATGCAACAATGAGTTCTGAACTTAGAAAATGAAGAAAATGGAAAAACAACAGTTAAATATAAGCGAGTATTCAATGCCATGCCACATACCAGGGTTGGTAGCCACGAACCTGATGGCAGCCCAGCCTTTTACAGGCACAATCACTGTATTCAACATAGGAGGATCAATGAGATTGTAACTCATGGGGTCCTTACTTTTGTTGAAATTACCAAATCCATATCCAACAACAAAGAAACTGAATCCATGGAGATGAATAGGATGGTCTACTCCTCCAACCACGTTTGTCCCTTGGATAACAACTTCCACTGTTGAACCATAGTTCAGAACAATAACCTTAGTCCCTCGCTTGGGAACACTCAAGGTTAGAGGCAAAACATCTGCAGTGAAGTTAAATATCAATGGTGGTAATCTGGGAAATCCCTTTCTGAATACCCCTTTGATATGGTAGTAATAGGCTTCTAGTATGTCAAATCTAGGGGTTTCAAAACTTATATTGTTCATGCTAGCCGCAAAAATGGTTCCATTTGGTCCCTGGCAGGATTTTCCATTGGGGCATGGGAAGGTGTTAACAGAAATTGTAGTCACTATATGATTTTTGATATTTTTTGGGACGTTGTGCGGAAATTTCAGAGGTAAGCCTCTAATACTTCTGATGAAATCAAAAGCTGCATGTGTGTCATTATTTTTTGGAAGATAAGGTAATGTAGGAGATAAAGGTGGATCATAATTCCCACTGTAGTGGACTCTAGCAGTGGTTGTAGAGTTATCAAAACCAACAACTCCTGTTGAATATGCCCTTGCAGCCATATAATAGTGATTAGGCTCTTGGTTAGCATGCAACAACACATCCATTGTTTGTCCTGGAGATATGCATATGTAATCCCTTGTTATTGGCTTGGTGTACATAGCATCAGCTCCAACAACAGTGAGGTTGTGTTTGGCAACAGAGAAAAAGAGAATGAGATTCATCGCGGCATTAATAATGCGGAGATGATAAGTCTTGCCTTGGTCTACATTTAACTTGAATGTTTCTGAAAATTAAAAGAAACACAAGTGTTTCATGAAGAAATAGTTAGTTAACCCCATGAATAAGATTAATTTATAAACGACCAAGTAGATCATAATATGCTTATGTTAATGATTGTGAAAGGAAATTTTGATGCCTACTTGATCTTGAGCAAGGGAATAAATCCCCAGGTTGACCATTAATAGTGATAGCATCGGATATGTTTGGGCCTCCTCCAGTTTCAATAGATTCTTTGTAGACCTTATTGACATCATTTTTCCACCATTCTCCTGTGTAGGAATAAATAAAATTCTGTTATGGCTATTTGATCAACTAAGGAGGAAGGACAACTATAAAGGTTTTCATACCAAATATGATGGGAATGTCTGCATCAGGTTTGGGAAAAGGGTAGGTACTATTCTTTCTTGGATAGATTTTTATAGCTCCGTGGACAGTGGCTCTTGTCCAGTCACTGTGAGCATGCCACCATAAGGTCCCTTCTTCTGTAGAAAAAACTATCTTCTGTCTGAATTTCCCTCCAGGTTGGATGGGGCACTGAGTAATGTATTCAGGACCATCTGTCCATGGATTCCTTGGCTGCTTCACACCATGCCTGCACATTAATCAGTTGTAGTTAGGTATATGGTTAACATTTATTCATTATGTTGTGTTTCCCAATGTCATCAAAATTCCTGTTATTAAAAACTCAATACCAGTGTAAAGTGATGTTGTATTTGCCCTTGTTATGAACATTAACATAAACTGTATCACCCTTGTGGACACTTATAGTTGGCCCTGGAAATTTTCCATTCACAGTCAATATGCTTTTTGTTGAACAGAGCCTTGTATACCTTGCTTCTTTCACCTGCAAGATTAATGAAATCAGTTATTACAATTATTAAGTAGTCTGATGTTAGCTGCAACTTAAGTTACTACTACTATATGTAACATATACACATGTACTTCAAGAAGAATTACACAATAGGCAGTTTCATGCAACAACAAAATTGTACTAAGGAATCGGTAGGATGAGATGGGACTCACAACAAAATTGTAGTGACTATGTAGTGTTTGGGAACTAAGACCAATCAAGGACAAACACAACATAATTTGGAGGAACATTTTCTTGCCAAACAACACTTTCCTCCTATAATCCTTCTGCTAAATGTTTCTGTATTATGAAATCATTTCTGTGGGAGGGATTTTATATCTGTGGAGGAAGAGATTTAGTAGAGGAAGATTTTGAGGTGCATTAATTGTAAAGAACCAATTCAACCGAAAAGCTTAAACGGTTAGGTGATGTTATATGAATGATTTTATATTTCTCTAACACGCTCCCTCACACAAGAGCTTATTAGGCTTGAAAGGTTGATGATGCATAAGGCCCAGCAGCCTACCTGAGCTGTGAAACTCCACAAGACTTAATTAATTATTAATTAAATGAGGAATGAGGATTGAACCCGTGACACCGAGGCTCTAATACCATTGTAAGAACCAATTCAACCCAAAAGTTTGAGCTATTAAGTTAAAGTGTCTTAAATAGTTTTATATTTATATAACACGCTCTCTCACACGAGAGCCCACTGGTCTTGAAGGGTGAATAATGCACATACCCACTTATCTGCTAAGAAATTCCACAAGAGAAAGTGGGGAACGGTGAGGATCAAACCCACGAAACGAAGGCTCTGAAACCATCTAAAGAACCAATTCAACCCAAAAATTTAAACTATTGTGAAGACCTCTTAAATGGTTTTATATATATCTAACATTAATCCTAGTCTTCAAATTTGGTGTGTCTCAAGATAAGAGACAACAGGTCAAGCTAGTCATTTAATTCACTAGATGTCAAAGAAAGTTAAGGTGGATTCTTCAAGCAAATCTGAGTGGAAGGTGGCGCATACATCAGAGATTGCCGTATTTAGTGAGATTAAATGTCCCTCTCTGAAAACACTATAAGAACAGCTTTACTTAAAACCATAATCAATAGCTAGCCTTAGCCGATGCTATCCTTAGAGGTTGTAAAAATCTCTCTTGACAAACAATCTATAATTAAGTACTAATCCAAACATTTATTGAGACTAATAGTAATTAAGTAAAAAAAAATAAATCTTACTTTCTGATAGGATGTTCCTTATTATAAGGGTAATTGTCATTTCTTCTGTTTTTCTTGCATATTATCATTTCTCTTGTAGAGAAACAAATTCATAATTAATTGCTTTTGGGTTAAATGCTAGATCCCGAAATGATTGTTTTTCATACACGGAAACTTAAAAATTTGGTGATTTTCATTTCGTCATATTGTCCGTTGTATTTAAGACAAACAAGTCATGGTTAAATGCTTGTGAAGACGTAAACGCCTATATTTTGAAATATTGTTATTCGTGTCAGTATTTTGTTCACATTTTTATTTTCTTTATAAAATGCATGTGCCAATCATTTTCATGATACAGCTACGAATGGCCCAAAGACTTTATATCAATTTAAGAAGCAATTAGGTATTGAGATGGTTTTGACGCCTGTAAAATTATTCCTATTTCCCACGTGAGTTGACTTTGAATCATTATATACCTACGTGGCTTATTATGGGAGATCAAGCATATAAAACTTACCATCAATTTTAAGAACGCATTGTACGCTAATGTCAATTTTAAGAACATGCAGCAACGTGTATGTCTGTCAGCCAAGCATTGGGTTTCGATGGGGTCATTCTCAACTTAAGTCATGAAGATGCATGGGGTCATTCTCAACTTAAATCATGAAGATGCTCGAACACTTTTATGTCTTTATATATATATATATATATATATATGGAAAAAGAAGGAGAGCTCTTTTCTCATGTTGGTGAGAGTTCGTTTTGCGTGCAATAATTTTTTTTGTTTTCTATGTGTGGGCCCCACCATAAATTTGAGTGTGTAGGAGATTTGCTCCTCTCCAATAGCATAAGAAAAGCATTGCCTATATATATATATATATATATTTATATATATATAAGGGCAGGATCATTTTACATCAGTTTACATTCTCATTCTTATCCGTTAATTCCATTTATATCTAATGGCTCAAATTTTTTAGTAATGTGAGCCATTGGATACAAGTGGATCAATGGTCAAGATTGAGTGCAAGACTTCTAACTCTTACAGTAAGAATATCCTGCCCTATATATAATATATAGAACCTTGGGATACACCACCTCAAAAGCTAGCTCAAAGGGTGGGAGTGCCCAAATCTTTATAAACTCCTCATTAGTTGCTCATACAACCAATGTGAGACTATATATCTCAACGTGTATGTCTGTCAGCCAAGCATTGGGTTTCGATGGGGTCATTCTCAACTTAAATCATGAAGATGCTCGAACACTTTTATGTCTTTATATATATATATGAGGTAGGATCTTTTGACACCGATGTCAAATTTGAAGTTTGACACCTCATCTGAGAGTCGTTAGATCAAAAAAGATCAACGACTCTGATTTGTAAACATGTGTTACCGTTGATCTTTTTTGATATAACGACTCTCAGATGAGGTGTCAAATTTCAAATTTGACACCGGTTTCAAAGGATCCTATATATATATATATATATATATATATATATATATATATATATATGGTATATGATCATTTGACACCAAATCCTATCCGTTGATTTTCGCCAATCAACGATTATTACTTATTGGGAACACTAGCAGACCTATATTGTTGCAAATGCACACACTAACTTTTGAAGAAGAAGAAAAATAGTTAGTGAATGGTCGTTCCATTGTATCACCTTTCCTCCGGCTATCACAACAACAAATCACCATTTAAAAATTTAACATTGTAAAGGAGATGCAAAACTATAACTAGAACTCTAAAAGGAGAGAAATTTTGGTGCTCCTGGACCACCGTTAATTCAGTGGAGACCAATCAAAATCAAATAATTATTGAGGAGAGAGAAAAGAGGAGAAATAAAAAATAAATTTTTGTCCAAGTGGCACCCCTAAATGGAAGGACCACATGGGACCTGGAGCACACAAAAAATTCCCTCTAGAAGCAGCTTACTTTATGGTTATTCAAAAAAAAAAATACAATACGCAAAACTATTCATAGTATCTTTAAAAAAAAATCGGGACGCTGCCCCTGAACCCAATCACTAATTACGCAGATATAAATAAAGTTATCTGGGTTCGTCACTAATTGGAAATTAAACTTATTAATTATCATTGATTGGCGAAAATCAATGGATAAGATTTGCTATCAAATTTTAAAATTTAACACCGATGTTAAAGGATCTTGCCCATATATATATACCTATATATATATATATAGGCTTTAATATATTTACAGAGTGAATATAGATAAGTTATTTATAATATTCACTCTCAAAACGACGTTGTTTTGGGTTGAAAGATTAAAAATTTATAATGAGAAAGACTATTATAATGTCGTTTTGAGCTCAATATAGATAACTTATATACATTGACTATAGAAAAAATGAACTCATATATATACATATATTTGAAAAAAAAATTATTATTATTTTTTTTTTTTTGATAACAAAAAAATTATTATTTTAAAGGATACAACTTTATATTTATTGATATATATTTATTGATTTTTACCTTCTCTGCTTCCTAATTTTAGGAAGAAGAGAGAATACAAAAGACCAACAAATATATGCTAAAACATGATCGAGTGAAATGAAAGTTGTGTCTTTTAAAATTATAAATATATATATATATATATGATAATTATTTTTTATTTGGATAAAATTAAACTTAATTTTAATGTATATGCTAAACAAAATAATTAGAATTAAGATGTTGATATCTAATTCCAATTCTCAATTATGAGCCAATTCTTTTCACCAAATAGGTTTGACGTACAATGAACTAAATCTAACTAAAAGGCATTAATTTATCATAAATTTATGATTAGTGTATGATTATGAAAAAATTGAAACTATTATTATTTCAATGAAAATAAAATAATGCCAATATATACGCATATATATGCTGACATTTTGTAATTTCGTTTTCTGGGGTTTTAAAGATGAATTATCTTAATCTTAATTTTTCAGAATTTGTAATATATAACATAAAACATTTAAATATAATATCACTACTAAAAAAGCATGGATTAGAGACAGAAAAATTCCCTCACTAAGTGAAATATTTCCGTCACTAAGTAAATTAGTGACGGAATTAGAAACGGACAAAAATCCGTTACATTATGGCTCGTCACTAACAGATGGAGACAGAATTATGAATTTGTCTCTAATAGAGACGAATTTTAGGACGGAACAAATCCGTCTCTATCTGAGACGGAAAAAATTATGTCACTATTAGAGACAGAAATATTTCCCTCCCCGATAGTGATGGATAAATCTGTCTCTATGATATTATTTTCTGTCACTAATTTATGCACGTGAACTATGTGTAATCCGTTCCTATTAGAGACGGAAGTTGTTCGTCTCCATTAGTGATGAATTTTTTCCCTCTCTGTTAGTGACAAACAATTTTCTGTCTTTGTTAGTGATGGATAATTTTCATCTCTGTTAGTGACGAATATTTTTCCTTTCTATTTGCGATGGATATTTTTCCCTCTCTGTTAGTGATGGATTGTTTCTTTCTCTGTTTGTGAGGGAAATTTTTTTCTCTATTAGTAATATATTGTTTCTATCTCTATTAATGACAATGTTTTCCATCCCAATTGGTGACATATATTTCTGTCTTTATTTTTATCCCTAATATTTGAATTTTTTTCAAAATCAATTACATTGAAAATTTAATTTTTACCGAAAACTAATATTAATTATAATCTAATATTCTTATAGGAAATTCAACTGACACAAAATATAAAGTAGCCATACTAAATGAAAATAAAGATCAAATCAAATCCAACCATTGCAATACAATAAGTTTTTACGTGAATTCATAAAAAATAACAAAATGTATGAGATAACAAGCAATATTCACAAATGAAGATAAGAAAAGGAAATATGCATACTATCAATTATCATCATGCAACTGAGCATCACTATAATCATCATAATCATCACTCTGTGCATCTAGTGCCGAAGTAGTAGTAGTGGAGGTGCGCACATCTCCTCCTAAACGAGCCATCAACATCGCCAGTTGCTCTTTCATAATTGCCATCTCTCGGTCTGTTTTCTCTTTCATAATTGCCATCTCTTGGTCTGTTTTCTTTTTCATAACAGTCATTTGTTGTTGCGTGTTCTCATATTTCTGCTTCAGCTGCTCATTTTGGCTGGATAAGCTGGTGACCAAGTCTCTCATGTGATCATACTCATCTGTGGAGACTCCTGACAAGCTAGCAGAAATCTTTGTGGACTTATAATTCCACGCCTCTGCACCTAAACCATATATTCGACCTTTCTTGTTCATACCACCAACAGCCTGCAATAATAGCACTTCATCAGATTGACATGTGGATGCCTCTGCCCCAGCCTCCAATGCATTGTCACGATCAGTCCTTCGCTTCAAAAAGTCCTCCTGAAATTACAAAAATTACATTAGTTATCACTTAAATCTGATTTAATGTCAAATAAACAAAAATTCTCAAATATCACAAACTTACAGCATATCCCTTTGCCTTCTCATTAACCCATAAGCCATCTGATTTAACTAAGTGCATCTTCTTAAATACCTCCCAAGATAATGACTCTGGATTTATAGTAGGATCCATCCTCTACAATACAAAAGGTTATCCAAACATCCATAATGAAAATGAGAAACAATAGTTTTTAGTTGTACAATTTTTAATTCAAATTACTTACCAATCTCTTCTTAATTTCCGTTGCTGGGATAGAACCTCCAACATGTGCAGGTCCTTCGTATTTTGATCTATTTTGTTTGTTTTTCTGAGACCTTCTTTGCCAGCTTGCTAAGGCCCATTTCTCCTGCAGCTGTGGTAAAATATCTGATTTAATCCATGTCCCTCTCTCCGTACCTACCCGAACCTTGTGCAAATGATGTGACAATAAATACGATGCTTTGTGATGAAATGTCTTTTGCATAAGAACCTCATGCTGTGGAACACATTTATACATTTTCTGCATATACAAATCATATAACAATTAACAAGGTGATTGATTAATGAGTAGTGTATGCTGATATAAAAAATATGTACATACAAAATTAAACAATTATCTCATACCCTAAATTGTTTATACCAGTTGTCT